CGACTTAAAGTTGTACTAAAAAGTTTTATTATTAATGTTAGATTTTTAACAATACGGGTAACACATTGTTATTGTAACAAGACATTACCGGTATTAGCTATTGAAATTGTAATGTTAGATTTTAGCATTACATTAATAGCTATTATAATTTTATTAACTATTACAGACATGTTAATGTAATCATACGTTTGAACGGACCAAAATGCACAAGGATCTCGGCATTATTTTCGACACAAAACTGACATTCACCGATCACATCGATGCGATTACAGCCAGTGCACATGCGGCAATGGGTTTCATCAAACGAACATCAAAAAATAAGTACACGATCGAATCTACAAAAATATTATATTGTGCAGTAGTTAGATCAAAATTGGAATATGCGAGTATTGTATGGCTTCCATACCATCGTATCCACTCAGATAGAATAGAATCAATTCAAAAAGATTTTTTAATTTGGTCGCTACGTTATATATATCAGAGAGATGAGAATTATATAAATGCCTCTATATTTTTAATTTATGATCTGCTTTTAAGTAAAATAGTGTCTAGTTCACTCAGAAATAAAATTGTATATACAAGACTGCAATATGACGAAAACCACAGAAATTTGAGAAGTACAGAACAGATTATAGAGTTAGGGCATTTTCATCGGATTATGCACATAATCAGCCGACACATCTTTAGAAACAATATTGTCAAATTGGAAAATGTGATATTTGTTCGGTAAAAAAATTAACTTTTAACTTTTATGTGTTAAATAGAAATTAAAACAGTGAACACAATCGATATCTGCTGCTCTGAATTCGAGAAGGCTGGTGGCTGGGTATACGATCGGGTGGTGTTTCATTGTGAACGATATTGTACAAATTTTGTAATTTATTCAGTCTGTGATCAGACGGTGAATAAATAAATAATAAAATAATAAATAATTGTCCTCATTTAATATTCAACTCAAGTGTTTTTAATTATTATTCAACTAGAATTGTTTAAAACTCATTTTATTAATTTTTATGTAATTTTATGTACAAAGGCATCTAAATTATGGAGGTCTATAATTTGTAATTAATGATTAAGGCAAAACAATATCCCCAATCCATTTGTACATAATAACACCGTTATTTCGCATGTATACACTATACAGTCGATATTCTTTTTGATGATATTGAACTTTGGATAGTACGATCAAGATAGACTTTTGTCTTTCTCTACATAGCGATTGGAACTATTTAAAAAAAAGTAAAACATGTTTTTTGTAGGTGTTTGTTTTTTATTGAGCTGTAACAATTCATTACATTTTTCAATACAGAAATTAATTATAATTTCTATAGTAGCCAATCAAATTCAATAAATAGTTGACTAGAATCGCTCTATTTCCATCCCACCAAGTTATCTGACACGAGTCTTAAATGGTCGAATTTGCCTTTTGTCTCGGGGTCCATAACGCTGTATTTATAATAATTGTTGTTATTCATTGTCAGTTGAAATATTCAAAAAGATAATACACTTACCCTGATACTTTTTCTATCTCATTCCTGTAAAATGCAAAAATAATTTAAGTACCCTTGATTTTTCATGTTAATATAAATATATATTCAAAAAAGTTCTTACAACACTTTTGTCCTCGAACTTTTCTTTTTTTGTGTAAGAAGATAGTCACATCTTTTTAGATATCCAAATAAGATGAGGCCAGAAAAGAAAATGATTTAAGAAATGAATAAAGAAAAAATGAAACTAGAGAAATGAAAAACTAATTGAAGTACTTACAGACTGTGAACATTTTTCATTCGCCTAGAAGATCAAAATATAATTTAAATTGCATGCGACTGTATGGCTTAGCACAATAATTAATAAATATATTCAAAATTTTGAATATTTAAACAAAAAATTTGAATTAAATTAAACATACACGTCTTTAATTAGTCTTGCCATTACTGCTACATCTATTACTTCGTCCACTTCGTCCACTTCATAAGATACGGATCCAGATGATGATGCATTTTCAGTTCTTTTTCAAAATGATAAAAATTCCAATTTTATTAATCTTTTACAAAGAAAAAATCGAATCGAAATACTCACGGTCCGTTTTGCGAAAGAAGAGAAGTACATCTAAAATATTATATTCAAATATAAGTTAAATGGAAAATGGCATGAATAAATGAACCTACGCATTTTCTAGCATTTGCTGAAGTTCCGATTGCAGCTGTTGGTTTCTCTGTAGCAATGCTTCTACTCTTTGTCTAAATTATCAAAATATTTTAATTCGGATTAAATGTTATGATAAAGTAATTTCCATTTCAATGAGCATACATTTTAATTTTAACTTCGTCTATTTGGTAGTCTGAACCGGAAACTTTTATTTTATTTTTACCAGCGAAGACAGTCGGCCTTGACAGGGAACATAAACGAAAATAAAAAAAACGATTCGTAATTTATTATTATGTTTAAATTAAAATGTTATTCTTACAAAGTAACGGCGACCAAACCGATCAGAGCAAGCGCCAAAATAGTTCGAAAAAATTCCATTTTGCTTTATTCAGGAATATATCTGAAGAAGATTCCTCTATATGAACTAAATTATCTTTGCGATTGGCCTTATATTTATACGAATTTTCAACGGCTTTTGTTAGTGAAATAAGCAAATTCTTCTATATGAATATAATAGAAAATAAATCGATTTTCGTCATAAAAATGTTTAGCTACGAACAAAAAAAAAAAAAACATGTGTCATTATGAATGTGATAAAATATCCATTTTTCAACCAACTAAGCTTTTGAGAGCGTTTGGATCAATTGCGTGTGCAGCTCCAGGTTCTGCTGGCGGTAGTCTACCTCTACATTCTAGTAATATAATTAATAAGAATATTGTAATAAGAAAAAAATGATGATCATTTGACGCAAACCCTTTAAGTATACTTACTCATAGTTTCAACGAGTTTCTTATATATTGATCGGTTGATAGAAGTTCATCGTCCGTAAAATCAGCGTGATACGTGAAGCATTCTTGTCGGCCTGGGACACGTACCGATTGAACATATGGGTCCTTGTCATAAGTAGTTATTCCTTTGTACTGTTTTTTATCATCCGTTGAAAACAGTCTAATCCACAAAAACAATTCCAAGCATATTGTAGAAAATATGAACGCTCTAGAATAAAAACAACTTATGGTTTACTCGCTGTGACTCAAAACGGATGCATATCAAAGCGAGACAATAAAGAACATTGAATTTTTTCATACAACGTGTGTATGCTTCGATTTGTTCTGATAACTGGCTACTGGTCTGCCTTGTTTTAATAACAGAATTTTGTTTCGCTTTGATATGCGACGCAGTTTAACGGTATAAATATTTGACACTCTTGGAGGCTCGGTATAGAACACACAAAAAGTGAAAAAAAAAACTTCTTATTCTCAAATTTCATATACACAATTGCATGCGGTTATTGATATCCGTTGGTGTTATACCTTCTTTTGTGAGAAACTTTATTACAGCACGATGTTCGATTTTTTCCATTTTTCAAAAAATATCAAAGTGACTGAATACGCAATGCTGCAGAAAACAAACGATGACAGATATCAACTCAATTTTTTTTTACAATATTGTTGACAGTTCATACTTCAATTACAACAAAAAAAAAAATTAGAAATTAGCGCCCCCTAGAAACTTTTCCCTCCCCCTGTACTATACAAACTTTAAATTTTGTTAATACTTATTTGATTCTCATCCACTCTTTAATGGGGTCTTTTGGTCATGGTCCAAGACCAGTCTTTTCCAAGTATGACTCATTTGAATTAATTATTATGGCAATTGTAAATTGTAACTAAACAGTCGGCTTATCAAAGTGGACTCAAAAATCGAATAATAATAATAATAATAATATATACTCATATGGAGGTTTAATGAGATTCAAGCACTGCAAGCTAACAACCAGAATCATAGAAATTCTCTCATCCCCGGCTGTATTATTCAAAAATTATTTGAAAATAAAACTTGCATTCTTGTGTGTCATGTCATGCATTCAGTACTACAATTCACATGAATGTCATTCTTTTTCCCATGTTTTTTTTATTTTTATTAGAGGCGACGCTATATTATCATTTTGCACGTATCAGAATGTATAAGTCGCTAAACATTTATGACTAATTTACAACTTATGTGTTGCTCCAAATCGAATTTGATGGCACAATATAACTATCTGATGCGTCTGTTTACTTAAATTAAAAATCTATAAAAATATTATCGTAAACGTAAGAAAAATAGGTTCTGTTATAAACACGTGTAAAAAATGTAATTTTCCAAAAATTACCAAACTGAAATTTTTCTCAACTTTACGTTGAATCCAGATCTTTCCACACGTTAAGATCTGCTGCCAACTAATAGATATTCTTGTAATATTGAAAATTGGCGTTAAAACCAACCAATAATTTCTGAAGCGTCTGTTTACTTAAATTAAAGCAAATATTATCGTAAAAGTAAGAAAAATAGGTTCTGTTATCAACACGTGTGAAAAAATCTACACGAGTGAAAAATGGTTTAACAAAATGTTGTATATAAAGGGACATGTAACAATCGATTTATCAAGTTATTTTTTTCGGTACGGAGAATAGAAAAAATATGAAGCCACTATATTTTATACTTTTTTCGTTGCTGCTATCCATTCAGGTATAAAATATTTTAGTGAAGAAAATTTTTGATAATATATTCAACTTAATATTAAAATAAAATGAATTAATTTTTTAATGATTAACTTAATTCAAATAATTATTTACATGCTCAAAATGAAACCTTATTTTTATCTATTATTTCTTTAGTTGGTTAAAAGTCAAGAAGTTATCACATTCATTTCAATATTGGAGGCATTATACTCACAAAAGCCACAATTGACTAATAAGCTGAATTTCGTAGCCGCAATTGCCGAATTAACCCCAGAAATAGAAGATGAACTTCAGCCCATTACAAAAATTGAAGACAACGGTTGGCTAGACCAGCTGCAATATGTGAAAGAATACACTGATCAAATTGTCGCAGCGACTAAAACTATTGACGAAGCAAATCAAGAAATTACTTCGCTTCTTGCATTTGAAAAGCCGAACGAAGGTGACATTGAATTTTTTCAAGAATATCACAGCTTCTTGAAATCCACTCTAAATAGGAGTTTAAAAAGTGGGTTAACAGAGATGAAATCGGCATTCCAAGCTATGCATCAACATTTCGATTATTATATGAGTGCATCAATTTCTCATAAAAAAGAAATTGTAAAAAATATTGTTATGATAAATCGAACATTATTACAACTTCCACGTAAAACACATAAAAAAATTATTGAAAATTATATAGCTGATCTATTTAAATACGCCGGACAAGCTGTCTCCGAAATAATTCCTTATCTTCAAAATCTTGAAAAATTGAAGGACGTTCTGGAAAACTACAACAGTGCACGTACCTCATGGGTTGAATTTTTGATTGGAATGAGACATGGACCCTCATCGGCTAGAATATCAAAAGGAATGAAACCTAGAAATTTCCGCTAAATGATTTTGGCTACGAAAAAGATTTTTTATCCAAAAACTAAAATTTAACATCTATTCACATGCATTATTACTATATAAATTTAACGCAATATGTTTAACATTTTACGTATTACATTAAATTGTTCTTTGCGAATTATTTTGTGTGCATGAAATATTCTCCTGATTTGCAAAATAAAAACACAAAACATTCATTTTTATATCTTTTTTTATTTATTCGGTAGTAGACAACGAATACTATTGATGTCTTTGTATTCATCTGTAAAGATATCAGATAGAAAGATTATTATCTGAAATTTCTCAAAAATGCAGTCGCCAACTACTGTGTGGCCATATTAAAATTTGTGTATGCGTTATATTCAAAGTCAAACAAGTTTCAACTTATGGTGGTGCCAACAGTACTTTAAATTGAAACAAAGATACAAAATATATATAGAATTGCCACTGGATGATGATAAATGACAATTTTGTTTTAAAATTTTAAATACTTTCATCCTTCATTTTTCCAACAATTTATTTTTATTATTATTATTTATTTATTTATTCACCGTCTGATCACAGACTGAATATATTACAAAATTTGTACAATATCGTTCACAATGAAACACCACCCGCCCTTTCGACTTCGGAGTAGCAGATATCGATTGAACTAGACACTATTTTACCCAAAAGAAGATCATAAATTAAAAATACAGAGGCATTTATACGTCGCTTTTTTTCGAATTGGTTTTTTAACTATTGAAATTGAACTATTGCATAGACCGACCTGGTGCTCATGTTCATACTTCATTCATTCATTTGAATGTACTTAGGTATGAATGCCTACAATTTTACAATTAATATTGAATTAATGAAACCGAATCTATTTACACATCAATCGTCGGAAAAACCTTTCTTTCGGCTATATACTTTATAGGTATACAACTTTCGGGAAAAGATGTTTTGTTTTGAAAAGGATTTCGCGCCCAGTGTCTCTCCAGTTAATGAAAGGTTCGAGGTTTTCTAGAAGTTAAAATAACAAGAGATCAACACATTATAATGTCAGAAAAAAACACAAATAACTCATAACACGAGTTATTAAAATAAATTTAAGACGGAATTTAAAAATGTTCGTAAATTTTGCCTCTATTTAGGAGGTACTAAAATTAAAACTTTCAACGTGAAAGCATGATTTCGGAAACAAAACGATTTAATTTGTTCTGATCTGGTTATTTTACTCAGCGAAAAATGCTATAGCATCATACATACATATCCGCCTCCCCTAGCGCCTCCCCCAGAAAACGAATTTGATGCACGACAGACTTTCTCATTGCTTTCAATTTCTCCTGCTTTTTGTTCTATTATTCAAAATATGAATCATTGCGGAGAGAAAGTAGCTCTTATTTTTCTCCAAATAATACTGCAACATGAAGTTTTTTTCACACGGTTTATTTGTTGTAATACAACAAATAAACTATTCATAAAAAACTTTATGTTGCATTATTATTTGGAGAAAAATAAATGCTACTTTTTCTCCTCTTCTCTAGAGAAAGCCAAAAAAATTCCTAATTTAAATTCTCAAACCCTTCAAAATTGTACCGAAAACCGGGTTGGCCAAGCAAAAATTCATTTTTGGTGATTCTTATGGTTACAACACATCCAAATTTGAACCAAAACAATAGATTCTTAGGAATCGAACGATCATTAGGAATCAGCAAAATTTGTAACGTAAAAGTTCCAAAGGGTGTTACAAATTTGGTGTTTATTTCACTTTATAGCATGTTGCTCTATCGAACCATGAATCAAGTGCAAGTGGTTTCTTTTGCATTGATAACGTTAGGGCACTACTATATAAGGCTAGAGACGTCAACAAACCGAACTTTGATAAAGGCGTGTTTGTATGGTAGGATCTTCTTTGTAAGGTATTTTATAGCCATTATTCGAGAATTTGGTGCTGAAACGTAAGGTAACACCTCCCTTACATGCTCCATTATCAACCAAATATTATTGAAATCGATAGAATTCATTGGGAACTATCTGATTAAAGACAAAATTGTGCTTGCAAGCAGAAAAACCACAATAATGGCTCACTTCTTAAAAAATAGAATTTCCATAAAAAAAGGACCATCTTTTTAACTCCACAAAAAGACACCAAATTAATTATTTCTCGTCTGTTTTTGGATGTATGTTATAGGCGAAGATCCAAAATACTTGAAACGTGCAACAATTGGTTGGATGGATTGAGAGAAAGTTGAAAGAAATCGACATATCTGTTGTCCAGAGCATGATTTTGAAGGTTCGATAAAAACTTCGACAAATCGAAGAAAAAGGTCCATTAAGTGTAATGTAAATGTGCTATTCGATAGCCCATAAATAAAGGTTTATAAAAAAGAACTTAATAAAAATTTTAAATTTAATAAGAATTTTTGTTGTATAAATGGCGGACGTCTGAATTATTACACGTGTTATTTTCGCTCAGTGCATGCACTGCAATATTACCGAAATGCTGCAATTAACAAGGTATTATTCCAAATCAGTGTGTTAAAAAGATTCAATGTTCCAACGTTTTTCTTTCAGATTATCACGATATCGCTGAAGAAGTATCTGAAGATCCTTTCGAAACCATTAGGGAACCGATTACATATGCCTGCCTCTTCAAACCAAAGTATGTTTTAGCTTATAAATGATTTCTTCTGGGTTATCTTTAAATTTGCTCCAACAAAGATAGATTCAATGATCGCTTTCTTTTACATTCTCGACCACATTTAGATATGTGGTATTTTTTTACAAATACTGTTTTATCTATGTAAAGGATAAAATATGAAATGCACTGGTTTTCTTCTGTAGAATAATATTTGTTTCTTTATTGATCTTTATTGTTTAAATCACCATGAAAACTTGTGAATCTTATTTTCTTACCAAGATACATAATACCAACGAGTATTAAGAAATTTCAATCATAAATTGGGGTACCCCCATACAAAATTTTCAATTTTTGGCTCAAGAACGAAAATTTTGCATGGGAGGTACCCTCAATTTGTATTGAAATCTCTTCAAACTTCCAGAATGTTATTTTTATGTGAAAAAAATGGCCTATGCGAAGTCTCACGACATTACGATACCATAAAGACATGGCTGCCACACAAAATCCACATTTTTTGTGATTTTTCAGGTTTTTGTTCGAAAAATGTATCAAACATTGATCGTATCGCAAAACTAACGTCATATTCGATTTTCTCACTACGTATTTTTACAGCAGAAAAGATATTTTTTCTGGACTTTAAATTTTTTCCAAATTCGTTAGTCGAGAAAACTTCAAAGAATTTAGGCGGGTGCTTCCGATGATTTTTTAATGAAAAATGGTCTCAAATATGTTTTTTCGTATCCTATTATCCAAATCTGGATGGGGCATCTCGATACCGAATTTTTTTTTTTTTTGACCACTCTAGTGCACATATAAAAAAAGATATCAATAAAACCAAAAACTTCGAATAGTTCACAGAGACTTTCAATTTTATTGCAATAATAGATCGAATACATTCAAGATTGTATACTCTAGAGGGGCACAATTACAATCAAACTAGCCAAATTGGTTACGTGATTTCAGATGAGGAGAACATATAGTCAATACATCGACAGTTTAATAAAAACTTCCACTATCACATTGACGTGCTATTTATTTGAATGGCCTTTTTTCATTTGCAAAATCTTTTCTTTCATAATTTGATAGAGTGAGAGTAATCATTCAAAAAAATAAATCGCTCAGGACTAATGTACATATGAAGATATCGCCAGAATGATGCAAATTTTGTTGCCTGGACTTTTTTATGAACAATTCTCTCGATGATTATAGTGCTAAAGGCTGCCATATTCAAAGCAAAATAAAGTGAGAAAGTGCTCCTCATATGACCTATCTTAACAGTGTTATGCGCTAATTGTGATTTTACTTTCACAAACGGTAGATATTCCTTTAGCCATTTATCAATAAGACCACACTCTCTGGCAAACCGAATGAATGTATTCAATTCCTTTGCGTAAGAAAATTTTTTATGCATCAACACTTTTAATGGATACTCGTAGATATTATTAGGATGTTCAAAGCAGTAGATTTTCAAACTTGAGTCATTGTCTTTACCAGTTGGCGACCGCGATAGTTCACGAGAAAGCGCAACAGCAAGTTTATCGTTCCATTCAAGTTGATCAATGTAATCACTTGGCTGGTAAACCATTTTAAATTGATCCAATGATCGCATTGGATAGGACTGTATTTGAGAAAAAGTTTATTAAAAGTACGTTTCAATAAAAAGACACTGTAATTTAACTGCAATTGTATACCTGATTTTCTTGTGAAATTTTTCGAAGCGTAAATTGATCGCCCACCAAAGTAAATTCACCATCAATTATCTCTTGAATCGAATGTACTTGCGGACCAAGAATAGGATTTGTTTTAACTTTTATAAGGAATGTGCTGACATGAATTGAAAAAAGCATTGAACAGACTAAATAGAACCAAAATCCCATACGAAAGGTAAAATGTTTTGGATTAATATTCATCGATAAACCCAACATGCCACGAAATCCATCAAAGAAAATTTGATGCATATCCCAACCTCTTTGCTTTGGTTCCCATTGTTGAAACCATGATACAATGAATAAAATTAAACAACACTCCAGGAAGAATACAGTATAAACTAGCGGATCTTTACATAAATGGAAAACGTGTTTCCATATGGGGATCGGTTTTCTTTGCTGGACACACCATGTCAAACTCTCTTGATAATAGCTGTTCGAAGCGACAGAAAACTGTTCAGTAATCATGTTTTCTTCCAAAGCACCAATGAAAATGTCGATTTTGCTACAAATTATTAATTCACTCATTTTACCTATTCTTTCAATGAGTTATATATTTTTTATCAAATGAAATACTTACAAGGACTCTATCGACTTTAAAAATGTGTCCGTATGTTCGGCTGTACTGAATACTTCTTTGAAGGTTTCATTTGCTTCGAAGAAATTGACTTCCAGCTTATATTTTCGGGCAAAGGTTTTAATAACATCAACATCCAAGCCTTTGGGCGATTGATTTTCATAAAATGCAAATGGTTTCGTTGGTGATACCATTACGTTAATTGCTTGAGTGCAAGAAACTGCCAATTGATGTGATACGACCAACAAAATGATCATATAAATTTTCTTCCGCAACATTTCAATCAACTGAATATTATTTTAAATTACTTTTCTTCCGGAACATAAACTTTTAGAAATAGGCACGCTCCTATACACAAGAGATTAATCATCATTCATTATCAATCTAAATTGATTAAAAATTAAACCCAAAGGATTCTGTTCAAATAGCATAATACAATATCTATTTTTATTTCGGAAATCATCAGCGAACCAAATTCAATGTTCAACTATTTCGAATTGGGTCAATAATTCACGTGGATAAATCTGAAACATCTTGACCAGTGAAATCAAATTACCTTATTTTGTTCCATAATTTTCCGCATCGTAACTCTATTGAAAAAAGATACCATCATTTTATTTAGACACTTGCCATGTTATGATGAGATTCAAATATATTTTTTGTTGGACAATTTCCAAAAGATTTTTTTTTGTCATACTCAAGAGGTACATCATTAAAAAAAACCATCAAAAATATATTTGTAGTCTGATTTCATACAAAATTCTATTCGTCATGCATAGCAACATGTTTTGATTACCTTGGAAACACCTACTTCTATTTGCATTCGAAATGATAATGGATCACTCATTCACCTTTAAAAAGTATTTTTCAAATTTGACATTGCTTCAAAGTAATGGTTTAAAAAATAAACAAGAATAAAAACTAAAGAGGATCGAAAAAATTAGAGCGCTCAAACCGGCTCAAACCTACAAGCACACTGGCGGCGACTCAGTAGATGATGTCCAATATATACAAATTTGCGTATTGATTTATATTTGTATGTTCTTTTCTGTATTCCACTGTCACGCTGCCATTGCTTATAGTTGTTTGTTGTTGTGCAACGATTTACAAGGTGAGCTGTGTAGCAGTGGTTTGAATGTTTCCTTTTCTCTGTTTTACTTCTTTATTGATGCGTTTTATTTTTTCCGTGAAAAATTATTAAAAATTAAATGGCATTTTTCGGAATTGTTACTTGGTATTTTTTTGCATTATTTGGTATTAAATTGAATTAAAAATAAAGAGTCTTACAGGAGTAAGACGAACTTTTCCGCACGGTGGTAGATGCGTATTCTATTAAGCTATTTCAAAATAATATTTGTTCGATAGCAGAAGTACTCGGAAAAGATTTTTCACACTTCATGATGAACCCATTTGTACGACATTTGAAAGAATTCTATTTTCTATAAAACACTATAAAAAATATGTCTGACGTTAATTTTGCCATAAACATTATTTTTGAAACACTTTTCATACAAAAGTAAAACAAAATGGATTTTTGTATGGGAATCATACCTGTATGGTATCGTAAGCATGTGAAACTTTGCACAGGTTATTTTTTTCACAAAAAAAAACCATTCGAAAAGTTTGGAGAAATTTCAACGAAATTTATGAGTACCTCCCATACAAAATATTCTTTTTTGAACCAAAAATTGAAAATTTTGTATGGGAGGTACCGAGTATCACTTACAGTCGGCTTTCAACGCGACTCGATTTAAGAAGCGCCATCTCTTTCACGCCAGGTTCTCATATATTTTTAAAATCTCATCAAACTTTCAGAATATTATTTTTTTGTGCAAAAAATAGTCTGTGCAAAGTTTCACGTCATTAAGGTGACGGCATGGCTCCCATACAAAAATGCAATTTTTTGGTGATTTTTTCAAGGAAACTGTATCAAAAAGTGATTGTATCTCAAAATTAACCTCGAATTCGGTTTTCTCGTGCCAAAAAACCCCCCAATACATATTTTGGAGTGTTTAAGTCTACATTAAGTATGACTTTTGGACGAAAATTGGACTCTTTTTCATAGGTATCACTCCAGGCACGACAATTTTTTCCATCGACCAAAATCGCTCAAAATCTAATGATTTCTATTCCTCGGGACCCCTAATCATCCTGTACAGTCAGATTTTAAATAACTTTTCTGGGGGGTGAGATAATCGATGGACAAATTTTGCGTACGGCGGACAACGTACGACGTACGACGTACGACGTGGAACAGACCCACACCAACCATGCTCAAAACGGACTGATTCGGGTTCTCTGACCTCAGAAACGTCCAGAAAACATGTTTTTGAGGTTTCGTAAATTTTGACCCATTGCAATACTTTCCCCTTTCACACTAGGTGTGTGCGGAAAAGTAATACTAGTACTTTTCCCCTTGGTTATGGGCAGTCAATAGTTTTCGAGTGTATACAAACGAGAGAGATGATGAAAAATGTTTATTGAAAAGAACGCACAATATATAGAAAGCAAAGATCAGCACACGAAACTATGAAATAGCAGCCGCTATATCCATAGCTGAAAACTATTGACTTGTTATGAGATATGTTGTCTACAAGCGGACCGTATTATGAAGATTCAAAATGCGGAAGCCCTTCATTTGCGCCATTCCTCATTCCATAGTTCAACTCAATTTAGTTCCACTGCATTTAATCGAAGAAGAGAAAAAACAACAATAAAAACACGGCTACATAGATGACCAGTGAGATACGTATACCCGTTCGAACAATTGGCGCCTTTTGAAAGGCACACGCACCATTTCTGCGCCTTTTAATGAAATGAAGAGAAAAAGAATAAACAACACATCGTATAACTCGTATATAAACAGCGTGTACGAAAACAGCATAGTAGTTCATTCGATTTTTTGTATGCTAAAATGCTAAGACCATACTTCTTCTTCGTTTGAATCCATTGTGCGGCGAAGATCAGCACAAAGAGGAACAAAAAATACCAAAAATCTAATAAATTTGCGCCTACTATGCTGTTTTTCGTACACGCTGTTTATATACGAGTCATACGATGTGTTGTTTATTCTTTTTCTCGTCATTTCATTAAAAGGCGCAGAAATGGTGCGGGCAACAATCGCAAAAATTCCAACAATCGCAAAAATATGATCAACAAATGTCAAAAGGATGTGTTGTACACCGATTTCGCAAAGGCTTTTGATCCACATGAAATTGCTTCAAAAGTTAGTGAGATTCGGATTCGGCCGCCAAACTGTCAAATGGTTCCATGTTTATTTGACATCACGATCGCAGTTTGTCGGGAGTACCCGCGGGAAGTATTTTGGGTACAGATTTACATTTTTCAGTAACACATTACAATTGTAACGAAGCATTACAGTAACGTCATTACAATTGTAACGTTAGATTCTAGCATTACCAGTAATAGCTATTGCTATTCTTATAACATTACTGGCAATGCTTCGTTACAATAATAATGTGTTACTCAACACTGCCGCTAATGTCAAAAATCTAACATTAATAATAAAACTTTTTAGTACAACTTTAAGTCG